AGGAAAGTCTAGGGAAGAGAAACTTGGCTCTCTCGTCTTGGAAAGTGATCTCCAGTGGCGCATGTTACTCAGCCTCTTGGGTCCCTCCGTGCCCCCACTGTCTCCTCACGCAATAGTCCCACAATCGGACATACCTACTCTATGATTTTAATATATTCTCTTCATTCATCGTTCCATCAGCCAATATTCTATTCTGGCCGATCTCCTCCGTAGCCAACCAATACAATACTAAATCCTGTTTTGAAATTCAAAGAGAAATTATAATTATCTGGACCCCGCAGGCGTCGACTCTTCCCGTACAATTATATTCATAAAATAATCCAGAAAAATGAGGAATTTTGTGTGAAAATACAAGGCGCTTAACGTGTTGAACAGATAATTGAAGAACGCGTATTTTTACACTGTTCATCGCGCACAGAATCATTTTAATCCTTCGCAGCGCGTGTATCGTACAATTTTCAAACAGCTGTCACTCAAAAACTAGCAGTATTATTGCGACCAAAAAATTTTGGGAACATAATTTAAACATTCTAGAACATCGTTTTCTTTATCAGAACTCGGCAGCTCACTTCCAAATATAAAAATGTTGGTCATTTTGACCCAGTGCGGCAGCGGAGACAATAAGAAACAATAAGAGAACTGTACGTTCGTTTGACACAACTTTCATTAAACTGTTAAGGGGTTAGAAGGAAGCCAGACCGTTGAACGATCGATCAACCCAAAATTCCTCGATCACCATCCAAACGATACATTGGTATTAAAGGACATTGCAGCCTTTGGTCTGAAAAAAATTCCCGAAAAAGTCTCTCTGGAAGTCGAAGAATTTCCATTTCCCCATGGTCGAAGGTGGCGAGGGAATGGGGACGAGAGGGCCCGGGGCTCGGTGTCCGTCGAAAAATCTGAGGGAGCTACGCCTTTACGGTGTAAACAGTAGCCGTGTAGCGGTAGGACACGAGCAGGGTACACGACACACGCACGCACGGCCAGATGAATGGCTGGAAAGGTGGGTGTTACGGGTGCACCGAGAGCCCTGCACCCGGGTTAGCTGCATCCTTCTGCTCCGGCTACAAGCCCGGGGCCCAGAGGGGCACGGTGGCTCCGAGACGGCCGAGAGAGTCCGGTGTGGTCGGTTGTGCGCGCAGCGGCTGGTAATTAAACAACGACTAGTGGCCATTAGCCCATTATCATATTCATGAACACGGAAAGTGCATCCCGATTCCTCGTCCGGTTCCTCCGGCGACGATCCGGCCTAGGCTGTTTATACGGGCTGTGTTCGCGGGGCCCGAGTCTCCCTCCACCTCCCTCCCCCCTTCACCACCTCGTCACGGGCCCCCCTGCGACCCCCGTCACGTCGCGTCGCCTCGCGTTGCCTCGCGAGGATGTCTTATGGGGCCACGCGACTACCCCGGTGGCCCCACCACCCCATTACACCGCCGAGAGACCGCGGGGTACCTACGGCCCCGGCCCGGCCCCGGAACCGTCGCATTTCCCGCGACAACCGCCGATTGAGAGAACATTCCGCGATCACCGAGCCGAGCTTACGTCGGCCGGCCTTATCAGCGATGCAAATGGCTGATATGCAAATGGCAAATATGATTGCCGGCGACAATGTTGAGAAATTAGGTGGTGGGCCTAACATTTTGGGACTCGTTCGGGGTAGGCCGGCTGAGGATGGTTTATAGGGTTTCGTTTGAGTGGATGGTTGGTGTTTTGGTGCGGCTGTATGGCCGATGTTTGGGGATGGTTTCTGTACCGCATTCGTGACTTTTATGACTTCCTTTGGGCCTCCCTCGGCACGAGGAATTGCGGAAGATGCTTCCGACGACGTTTTTTAACCCCACGGACCATTTTAACAATTGCACTACTGTGCATGCAAAATAAAAATCATCAATGTTCATTGTAAGAAACATAAGTTAGATGAAAATGTCTTTCCTCCTTTAACAATTGTGATAAGTTGAATATAATGTAACAATATCCTGAAATTCTTCTCTATGTCTTAACAGTTTCTTATTTGACATATTCATTTTTTTCATAAATAAAATCCGCAGTCTAACAATAAGTATTTAAGGAGTTTAATAATCCTATTTCATTCTATTCGCTAATAAATAAGGTTGTAGGAGAAAAATTTAATGCTTTCCTTCTTTTTTAAGGATTCGATATTAATTAAAATAGTAACAGAATGGAATAAAGATCGCTTAAATATACAATTTCATAATGAAGAAGAACGACTAAAGTGTATTTAAGAGATGAAATTCTCTTTCTATCTGATTTGAGATCTTTGGCACTATCTGTCAATATCAAACATTAGATCTGAAAGCAATGAGCAATTTCCTTAAGCCTGGAATAAATGTTTACAAAAATAAGAATTACTACGTAACCACTTTATTGGAACAGTTGAAAGTTACAAAATCCTGGATAACGTGCAGCAGCAGTACGGAATGCAAATGTCGAAGTTATTGTTCTATCGTTGCTATGATACTTAATCCAACTTGGTAATGCAATACCTACGCTAATTTATTTTTAACTCTGCGTCGAAGAGAACGTTGATCGTGATCCTCGGGTAGTGATTTCGTACAATTCTTTCGTCTCTGTTCGCTTTTCGAAGTCGTTACAAGACACGGATCGTGTAAGGTAGCAGGTTTTATTCATCCCGAACGCGAAGACAATGAGACGACCGTGGATAAGAAGCTTCCCGCAGGGATTATACGCCGTTCGTTTTCGAGGCGAACTCATCTTTCGTGTATCCTCGCGGCGAGAGATCCTAAAAGAATTTCACGATTGATGTCTGCTCCCTTCAAATCCCAATCCCGGCCTAGACTTTCGCGTGGGCGTCGATTACAAGGAATCACCAGCCTCCTAAGAAACAATAGGATTAAGGATATTGCAGCCGCTCGTGTATCAATGGAGTCACAGAAATAAATCACTCATAAATAAACATTATTACGCGCTTATATCTCTTAACAATTTTTCCCCCAAAAAAACAACATAAAACTTCAAATTCAATAGTTCGAAACAGTGCTATGGAAATTTCACTTTCTTTCTTGCTAAAGAAAGATTTCACCAAAAAATCGCAATTTTCAAATCGGTCATAGTCATCAATGTTTAATATAAGAAACATGGTCTCGCATTTAAAGGGTAAGAGTGCATCAAACTTAAAATCCAGAAACAGCATCTTAAAGTAGAGGTTTTAAGCTTTTATTTAAATGAAAATTCATCATCCTACGACGATCTTTCGCGGAGTTGTCGTCAGTCAAAGTTGGCCGATCGTTATCAAAAATTTGTCTCTGCTATGACTTTTTTGGAGCAATGTATTTCTTCGAATAATTATTTTCGCGAACCCGAAGGGATTCCGGAGTTTTTCCGCAGTATGGCCGTGACAAATGGTGCGGTCTCATGCAGGAAAATCAGAAACGATCGTAAAGAATTCCGCACGCACGCAGCACCCGGCCACCTGCGGCAATGGCGGCGATAAATTCCACGATGGAGGCTCGCCGAAGGATTTAGCTACCAGGTCGTCTCACTTCCTAACGAATGTATCCGGCAAAGTGCCGACGACGATTCCCCGTGGCCTCTCTCGCGTTCGGGGTGTCGATAAGCCGCGAGTATCGACCGCGCGTTGCTCCGAGAGACTTCTCCACCTCCGCGGCCGGAAAACTCGCCGATTTCCTGATGGAATTTATTCATGGCCGCCATTAGCGATTGCGGATAGAGAAGCATCGCGTGCGGAGCCATGATATTAATTGTTGGTCCCTCGGAAAAGGTGCATCGTACGCTCGGTGCACTCACTGCTCGCGCTCTTGCCTCAAGAGGAAATTAAAATGTCTACTCGCCGCCCACACAAATTGATCTAATCGCGGTTGATTTGCAAATTGCACGATTTTTCGGCAAATTTTTAGTTGGCAAGAAATGCGCTTGCAGTTTAATTAATATATCAGCCTGTACAACTGATTTGCAAATTGCAATTTTTAATGGCACTGTTATGTAAAGGATAATCGTGAAATCTGTCTGGAGTTTGTAGGAATTGATCGACAATATTTTATCTTTGTAACCGATTTACAAATTGCAATCTTTATTAGAAATGTTCCGGGAAGGTCGAGGAATAAACTAACCATCAATATGAATTTGATTCAAATTACATTTAGTAGATATATCCAACAAAGTTTCCTGAAAAATACATTGAGATATATATTTTATCCCTGAAATATTGTTATAATTATTTTACATTTTTTATTTTTATATTATATATATGTATGTATATTATATTTTTATATTGTTTCGGTATGGTATATTTTGTTTATTATATTGTATGACAATAATATTTAGAACGCGGGCCCTATTATTCATCATTTGCGTCATGCACAAATGCGTCATTAACAAACTCGTCGTATAAGTAACTAGATGTTTGACACACAGAAAATATGTAAACTAGTCGGTGGAAAATAGACTTGAACAATCATAATTTCCATAAAGACAACGAAATTCTAATTTATGTCCGTAAAATATTTCTTCATAAATAAACAATAGATAGCAGCATTGAATGACTGAACAAAATTGTTCAGAGAAAATTGAGTTTTCACAAAAGAAGCACTGACATTTTTGTCTTGTTTCTCTTCAGATTAACTTGATTTATATATATATGCCATCTTATAATATTAAAAACATTAAAATTATTGTTAACATGATAATTATAATGTTATAATAATTATGATATTAATAACATTGAAAACTACGCATCATTAGTGGAATTGTTATTTTTTGACAGCCGATTTGCAAAATCCTTATTGATCGCAATTTTAATGTTAACGAACCTACACCGATTGGCTTCTGAGCCGTTCCATGTATGCAAGGTTAATCTTTCAGATATAAAAATGCATAAACGCATTCCCGAACAATGCAGTTTTAGTGTGCGCAGATCGTCTTGCAAGGTGAAATAGCAGGAACAATCAACGAATAGTTCTCAGAGATTGATCGCTAACAGGTCAATCGGTTTTTGTTTGCAGAACGTTCGGCGCGAAGTGTGCGAAGTGTGGGCGTAGTGTGGGAGCTGGTGATTGGGTAAGAAGAGCCCGAGAAAGGGTGTACCATTTAGCCTGCTTCGCCTGCGACGCCTGTTCCCGTCAACTTTCCACAGGTGAACAGTTCGCTCTCTTGGATGCCAGGTTGCTCTGCAAGGCTCACTATCTGGACGTCGTCGAAGGCAACAACACATCCTCCGATGGTGAGACTATGCGAACCCTTGTTACACTTATTAATAGACTGCAGATTTTATGCATTTACGGCAATCTTGGTTACACGTTGAGAGAATTCAAACACGTCAACGTGTTATTTTCAACCTATTACAGTTAGTGAAGAAAGAAAGAACATGCTATTTAGTTTATATTTCTTGCAATTGACAAAGACAATTTTTAGTTTTTCCATAAAAATCCGCAGTCTACTCATTAAACACACAGACATTTTTCAGTCTGAACGCTATACAGATCAGTGCTGTCCACTGACAATTTTATCAAGTAAAAGTCATAGCTATCCATTACCTAATTGAACCTTCAAGAAAGTCTTCGACAATGTAACAACTCAGTTAACATGTGGGTGGTTTAAAATCATAGCGGCGTAAGTAACATATTCGAAAATTTTAACTTATATCTTAAAATGTAATTTGTACATGACTTTTGGCATACGTAACATTTTCGTTGACAAATACAAGTGAAATAAATTAAAAATTATAAATTAAAAATTAGCTTAACTCTAAATTATCTTAACAATTTTGGCCCCTCATATGAAACGTTCATTTTTAATGAACTAATAGATCGTCATCAATAGACTGCGGATCCTTATGCAAAATTCGCCAACTAAATGAAAATAACAATGCTATTACATCTAGCTTTTTTATGTATAATGAACTTTATTGATTCCCTTATGGATTCCAAGTGGTCCTTCTCTTTATGCATCACATACCATGAAATAAAATAAATATGATATAACAAGAGAATGAAATAATATAAAATGAATTGAACTCAAATAAAATACAATAATAATTGAGAGAACGATCTGGTTAAAAATGTTTAGACAACGTCTGCCCATGTCATAAATACATAAAGATCTGTAGTTTAGTAAGTAATAAGAGCTGATACATCATTTCGGTGTTGAACATTGTGTTAAAAAGTAACAATCGAAATCATTGTCGGATGACCATAAAAACATTTGTTCACTGTTCCAGTAATATTTCGTTCTTATTTACCCAACGGATCGTTTCTTCCTTTACTCTTCGTTGTTTTAGCTGTTCTCTCGCTGCTAACTCTTTCTGCTAGCGCCATCGATTAACGTCAAAACGTAGCAGCTATATAAACAAAATAAACAAATAAGAAAAACGCTGAAGAGAATAAGAGTTAAAAGAACGACGAACGATCTAAACAACGAAGAAAAGATTTATCTTCGTACTCCAAGCATTGGACAGCACTCTTCTAGGTATAACATACCAGAAATTAAACTGTTCCGATGTACTCGGTGATCAAACTCTAATGATTGTAATCATGCGTAACATAGAAGCCTCGATTAGCATAAAAATGCATCCAGTTCGAACTGGATGACTGCCTTGGCCACTTTAAAGGGTGCGAATCAAAAGATAGAGTACTCGCGAAGGCGAACGGAAGGTGGGGCGCCCCTAATTGCTACTTTCGCAGAAGGCGGTGACTCCGAAAGCGGCCACAAGAGCGGTAACAAGGCGAAGAGAGTGAGGACCACGTTCACCGAGGAGCAGCTCTCGGTTCTGCAAGCGAACTTCCAATTGGACAGCAATCCCGATGGCCAAGACCTCGAGAGGATAGCGCATGTCACGGGGCTCAGCAAAAGAGTTACGCAGGTTTGGTTCCAGAATTCTAGGGCGAGGCAGAAGAAGCATCTGCACACGGGCAAAATGAAAGGGCAACATGGTACTTCTTGCGTTTGTTTTCTTTCAGCTTTCTAACACTCGATTCCCACGCGATTACTTCTCATTTCTACAGGGTGTAGCGACGTATACGCGAATTGCTTCGCAGAATTTCGTTTCACTGGATCCGTCTGTTTCTTATCCTTTTTGATCATGCTCGCCGAATTTAACAGAGTGAATTTAACGTCGCAGACGCGCGGTGGTCTAACACGACATTTTACCTGAGCAGAATGATCTTTGTCGTTACATTTCACTCTGCCTGAATGTATACTAAAGCACACATTTATTTCGTATATTTTCTGTTATTTATTTATTAATACTTCTTTCACTTGTTTGCTTGTGTTAATTCGAAAAAGTGTGAAGCATGAGGAAGTTGGTATTGTCATATGATAATTCATAAAAAGCAATATTACTCTAAACTAACAGGTGTATAATAAGTGTAGATATATAAATATATATTTATAATGCATATAAAAAATATATATATATATATAATGCATATATAGTGTAATAAACATTATAATTATATGAGTACAAACAGAAGTGAGCTTAATTTCATTGTGTTTTTCCTGTGTTCTTCACTACTTTTACGGTTATATTTTCCTACTTATCAACTATATTTTTTTATTATTATAAACTTAACAACTATAATACATATATAAAACATAATAATATTATGTGTATATTCACTCAGGTGAAAATATAACGACAAGAATCAGTTTGCTTAGCTAGAATCGCGTTTTATACCACTGGCTGCTACAGACATATTTCACGTTCAAGCAGAAAAATCTTTAGAAATTATTTAAGCCTAAGCGATGATTTTATAGAAAAATATAGAAAGCCTTGCAATAGAAATTTTCTTATGATAATTTATTAATCGCTTGCTGTATAATATCACGATTTTCGACAGAATCTACTAAACTAATACATATGTTGTTAGTTTCGTCAAGGGAAAATCTATTTTTCTACAATCGCACTAGAATAAAATCAAGCACAGAGTAAAAATCGATTCTACTCGCGAGTCTCAACCGATAACAAATAAATTTGAATCGAGGCTGTAAAATAAATTGTACGGCGAGAGATTAATACTGAAGCACAACATCTAATAAAGTCTTTCATACCACTCTTTTAAATTCGCGATATGGTAGAGTTAAGATTTTGCGAACGTTGTTAACAATTTTATCTGCTCTAATAGCTCCAAAGGTGATGCGATAGTGTATAAATAATTTATGAAAAGGTTTTGATCGATTAAATAGAAATTATGATGTTTGGAAGTCAGTGGAAATTATGATATTTGGAAGTCGATAGAAATTATGATATTTCGAAGTCAATAGAAATTATGATATTTAGAAGTCAAATGAGATTTTTGGTTCGTGAACACGAAAGCATTCTGAGCTTTCTAAAAAAGAAGAGACGGTCGATCTTTCGATAGGATGAATCACAGTTACACCTAGAAATATTGAGAGTTACGACAGTTCGGTGTTAAGCATCGGCGTTTACTGTTACAGTTCATCAATCACCTCCGAATTCCACCGCGTCTACGGGCGATTTCGGCCGGCACATCAATTTACATCTGACTTATTCCTTTCAACATCAACAGCAACACCATCACGGCCAGCAGCAACCGCAGCTCAGCCCTGCTACGTGCAAGAGTCCCACGCCTTCGATTTATCATAATCACGGTAAGAGAGGTTTTTTTCTACTTTCGATCCCCTTTGTCCTTCGATTCCGGACAACTTCTTTCTACGTTTGCTACAAATGTGAAAGCATATTCTTCAAAGTGAACGCGTTGAATTATTCGATTATACAATCATCATAATTGGACGTCTAATAGAGTGCAGATCAACCCTTGGAGACATTTTATTTAAACGAAATAGCGCTACCAAAAACAACTTTAGCAATTTAATTGATATTTATTAATATAATTGACGTTTTGTTATAATGGTAAATTTCAATGTTTCGTTTATCGATTTAGATGTTAATACAAACGAAGGGCACAGTAATTGACTACCCCGCAGTAACTTGCCCCACAACCCTACATATTTTTCAGATCAAAAGGACGCGTTTCAAAAATGCTTCAATAACGATACAATTTTTTGAGAAAGAAAAAAGAAGCAATTCAGTGCACGAATAAATTCGAACTAACCCTTTAAAGACATTTTATTTAAATGAAACAACATTCACAAAATTATTTCTTTTTTCTCTCTTCACAATCTTTTGTAATAATCTGTCAATCACTTTACAAACAATCTCGTTCTAATAACAAATCTAGAAACAATATCTATAAACAACTTTAAATACACGTAATGATAAAAGGTCACATTTCTTTCTGCAATATATGAGCTCGAAATAATTTAAACTGATTGTAGCGAATCGATATTCGTTAACCAGGTTTATGTTAACAAATATTTCTTAACTAGCTTATTTATTAATAGTCTGTGAATAATTGGCAGAGAATGTTCGCTAAAAGTCGTGTCCACGGATGAGAAATATTTAAGAACAACGCTGTCAGGCAACAGTGTACAAAAACGAACCGAAAATTCTGCTTTGAAAAGGTCTACTATCAATCGCAACCCCGTCAACTCTGTCTTCAGGCTCGGAACAGTCGATGGACGAGCTCTCGCAGGACTCGATGATGTTGTCGATGCCGAACGAGGTCTAATAGCCGCTGCCGAGCCACGGCAGCTTTGTAAATATTCGCATGATCGCGTTCGGATCTTCGCCAAGCCGGTGAGAGACCGTCGCGTCGCGGGCTCATTTCGTTTAATTTAATTTATCGACAAGAATAGCGCTAGCCGCGATCGAAGCTTCGAATCTTAAATCGCACGAGCTTTTTCCTTTTATAATTTTAACGCGACCATTCGACCTCGTCGTACGTCACTTTCGGCGGACTTTTTGATACGACTCCACCGATACAGGACACTAAACGAAAAAGCTCGCAGTGAAACGACGCGTTTTAAGCTCCGAAGCTCCATTGTAAGACACGTTTCTAAAACGTTAATTTACGCGTATGATTTGATTAGGTTGTCCCCTGGTTAATGTGATTTTCCTTTCGTGTCTTCGGAAGGGTGTGACGCAGGAACGTGGTCTGTGGATTTTTGTGTAGCAAGAAAATTGTTATCTTAATTCCAGCATTCAACATGATAAGTTGAAGCAAATATTTTGCCGGATTTTTGTTTGTTTAAAATTATGCATTGAATGCATAACTTCACAGCCTGTGAAACTTCACAGCCTGTCAAAATTATTGATATTCTATGAATCATTGTATACGAGTGGATTGGAATCATAGCGGCGTAATTTCTGAAAATTTTGACTTGTTTTAAAATATGATCTACACATGCCAAAATGTTAATCCATAGAATCACTATGATTGTAACCCACCAGTGCAGTGGTATGATTAATTATAAACTCAAGGTCATTTTTACATTTTTACTGATATTTAAACAAAACGATATATAGAACTATGCGAATCTAGTTTCTTTTTTGATTTTTTATTAAATACCAGCAAAAATGTAAAAGTTACTTTGAGTTTATGTTTATTCACAGCACAGTATGTCGGTCTCAGAGAATTTTGAGACGAGAATTATATAAAATTGTCGAGATTGCGTCTCTACGCTTCAAGAATGCGAGAGGAAGCTCGTACTGATTAGGGGACGGCTTAGTATGTTCCCTACGATCGTACTTACTCAGTGAATTAATTCTTTGAAGGGTTGTTCGCGTCGAGATCGAACGATCACTGTTGATTAGTGAATGAAATTTATTAGATAGATAGCGCTTTGAAGAATTAATTTCGAAATGTTTCACAGCTGTTTCGTACTCCCACCCCGTAGCACGTAAGGAAAAGGTCGCTGAACTATGACGATGTTTTCTATGGTTTAGAACGAAATCCGCCCAGAATGTTGTTAGTCGATGATGTCACCAGGAAACCGTAGACGGCGCCAACTTTTTAAGACTGGAATGGCGGCACAGCTCTCTCGCACTCGGTGTCAAGCTTATTATAAATAAGTGATATACAAGTTAACGTTCCGTGTTAAACGCGATTACGTCCGCCATGATGGAAGCGAGATGCCGAGGAAATTCTAGCTTTCGCTTTTATCCAAGATGTATTCGACAACTCGACGAATTCATATTTCTCATCATTACTGGGCTCAACAATTGCTGTCCAATTTAAGAATTTTCATTGTCATTGTTAATTCACGCTCGTTCAATAATTTTTCAACACCCGCAAAATGATCAATAAATTCTTTCCGAATTGTTTAATAAATATTTTCGCTAGACTGAAAGCTCTTTACGCATTATCAACAATCGTCAACGAACATCTTATTTAATTTTAATTATGAAAAGATATGAAAAATAATTTACTGATTAGAACGAAAGATAACAAAGTAATAGTGGATCCCTGTGCAAAATAAAAATTGCGGCAAGCAAGAATTGAATAGAAACTTTTATGGATTCTCCGTCAAATAGCCGAAGTTTTCTCCGTTTCGTGAATGCATAAAATCCGCGGTCTAGTAGCAAAAATTTGCCAGAACCAGTTTCCCGGTAACCATAAGTGATTCAAAAGACTAAGGTCCTTACGGAAGCAATAAAAGCGATATCTCTCTGTCTCACTTCCATCAATCCGCGGAGTATCCCTGATGTAATCAGGCAGCCGTTTCGATAAAAACGCGTGCGATCGTGTAAGATTAGGATGAATCAGAGTGGTTGAAGCGTCACCGGAAGTTCCGTAGTACTTCGATACCGTAGAATCTCGAACCGAAGACATCTCAGTGTACATCCGAAAGCAATGCTCCGAATGAAAGTATCTTTTACAGTGTCTAGGTAATTGTGTACCCGTAAAAGAACCATAATTTAATATACATGTATTGTGATGTAAATATTGTAAACTAAGTATATACAATATAAAATGTTGCTCATACCTGCTGCATTATCATTTCTTCACCGTATTTTCATCCTGTTCGAATTGGACCCGAAATGTAGCCCTGACTACAGAAGAATTCAAAAGTTTTAGGAAAAATATCAGATTCTACAGGAAATATCCCGCAAATGAAAATCGTTGAAAGGAGAGATTCCTGAGATGATTAGAAGTAACATTTTCCTTTGCGAAAATTTTCTACCAGGCTTCGTTAACGAGTTATTCGCGAAAAACACGGACCAATCAGAGAGCGAGTATATTGACAGCGAGGGTGTGGCGCCAGGCATGTATAACATTTTCGCAAAGGAGAAAGTTACGTCAAATCATCTCGAGAATCAATCTTTTTCAATGACTTATATCTTTGGGACATCCAGTATAAAGAAATTATCGAAAATTATAGAAAAATTCTGAGCGAAATAGGAATATATTTACGGTTGGAGTTGCAGAATTTGGTGTTTCGGAGGTCTGAGGATTGCAATTCGACGATAAGTGTTTCCGGCAAGGAGTAAACTGGTTAACAGTAAAAGACACTTTTATTAATAACAGTACGGTTTACAATATTGCGGGAATCAGTGTACGACGCAAGCGCAATATCAAATACTCATGCACAGGTATCGGGTTTATATACAAAAGCTACGGGACAGGTTTATATACAATTCTCACTTTCGAGACTCGAATAGTTCGTAGGACACGCGTACAGTAAGGACCGAGAAGATACTAGCGGCCGCCATATTGCAATCATTCGCTACACAAAAACGGTAAAGTATCAATTAAATGTGCACAACTGTGAATGATTCTTTCCTCAAACAACATAGACAATCGAGAGTCGACTTTCGAAACGATTCTTCGATGAGACAGATCGCGTCACGGTACGCAAAAATAACGAACCTTAAGAAGTAACTCGATTATAGCATTGCACATGTATGACCAACACAGTTGTCAAGAAATGTCTATAAATACAAGCTACAGACTGTCGTAATCGAAATAAATAATTATAACTTTACCTATCTAGGGTCTAGAATCCTCACCACGAAATCCTATATCCTATTCATATTATCACTTTTACTCTTCTTTATCCGGTATGTACAAAAGAGGAGTTAACAATCTTTCAGCGCTAGAAGACGGTCCCCCAAAAAGCTATACATTCGAAATAATCTCGAAACGTCTCGGAATTCCATCCACCATCGCACCAGACTCACTATAAACCACCGAACGAGTCTCTTCGAGGCGATGGTCGCACTTGTTACACTTCGATCATCAACTAGAACGATTTTCGCGCGAATATGTCCTTACGGCTAATAAAACTTTTCTCGGGATGATCGATCGAGGATCCACGGACTCCTAGAAGTCACCGGTTTCACGTAAAAATTGTCTTTAGGGATCCTCGGCCGCAGTTACCCAGCCTGATGGCAGAACTGCGCCTGGAGGTGGTTGGGCGTCGTTGGGGTGAGAGGCGTCAATGGGGTGAGCGGTGTCATGGGGCTGCCGGGACTTTCGCTTCCGGCGCTGCCACCCTGGTAGCCGCCCAAGTAGGCGCCCACCATGCTCACCCCCGAAGAGTACAGGTCCCCTGGGTGGTGTTGCATCGGGGGCGAATGGTGCACTGGACAAGATAAACAAGCAAATCGTTCGTTAAGTCCTCGTGGAACATGGTCCGGATGTTGGACAGGTTTGCTCCATCCCCCAAGAAATGTAGCAAACATTCCTGTAGATTAATTTTTGTTAGAGTCCTCGATGCAGTTAAACATCCTCTAAAGTCATCTAGACACTCTGAATCAGGGATAAAGATTGCATTAAGGGCTATACGAAGTAGCTTCAGTCGAGTTGAAACTCTTAATTTTGTCATTATTATTAGTCCTCTGTCGTCGTTTTTAGTCTGCGCAGTCATTTTACACATTCTTAGATAGTCTGACACTCGGGTATGCATTTTTGTTAGCAGATATTCTATCGACAAAAGTCTTACTTCAAGGGAAATACCTTTCTGGTTGCGTTAAGCATCTTTGATAGGACCAAGTATTCATCAGTCACCATTATAGTTAATCCTTTACCACTGTTTCTAGCCTGTCCAGCTTTTCAATTTACCATTATTTGGCTCGGATCTGAACTTTAGCGACTATCCTATCGGACGCAGAAGAAGTCCTTTGCAAAGTTAGCTAAGTCATCCCTTTTAGTTAGCCTCTCAATAACAAATCTTACTTCAGAGGAAACGAAATAGCTTTTCGTGTGTCAGTTGCTTAAAACGTCTTGAGCAAGTTAACGCCACTTATCAATTACCATTACATTAGCAACTGTGTAGGTAAGAGATCTTATTTCAGACGAAACAAGTAACTTTCAAAGAACATTGTGCACAAGGATCCATTGTCTACCGAAGGAAGTATCGAAGTACTCACTCTGCGTCTTGATCTTCCCACTGTGTTTTTTCTGCCTAGCTCTCGAGTTCTGGAACCAAACTTGCGTCACCCTTTTGCTCAATCCTGTGACGTGCGCTATCCTCTCCAGGTCCTGCCCATCAGGATTGCTGTCCAGTTGAAAATTCGCCTGTAGAACAGAGAGTTGCTCCTCCGTGAAGGTCGTCCTGACCCTCTTCGTTTTGCTACCCTTGCCGCCGTGCTCGGAATCACAGTCCTCCGAAGACGAGGTATTGTTTCCCTCGACCACGTCGAGATAGTGAGCCTTGCAGAGCAACCTGGCGTCCAGCAGGGCGAATTGCTCCCCCGTGGACAATTGTCGGGAACAAGCGTCGCAGGCGAAACAGGCTAAATGATAAACCCTTTCTCTGGCCCTTCTCACCCAGTCGCCGGCGCCCACGCTACGCCCACACTTCGCACACTTCGCGCCGAAGGTTCTGCAATTAGAAAGGAAACCCTTCATTCATTTCTGTGGATTTTAAAGCTCCGTTAGAGTTGCTGTGATGGTGTTTATGGCGAGTTTAGGAAATATAGAAATATACCGGCTGTCCCAAAATTATGTATAGGATCCAGGAAAACGCGTGCGTAACATCGTTCTAACACAGGTAAAAATAGTGTCTAACATGTCTCATGACATAGGTCCAAATAAGGTCTTTACCCTAAAATATCAATTGTATCAATTTGTTTCATCTTTTGTTCTATCTTTTTACCCTAACATCTTACTGAATTTGTATCCAGCATTGGCTTCTGGTCTTAAACAAATAATAAAAACAATTTCCGGTGGTTAGATCAAAAACGATCAGTGTTCTCGATGAAAAATTTGTCTTCAATTGTTTCTTACTGTTTGTTTGCACAGAAAAGCTAGATAAAAGAATGTTCAGTTCTCTCGAATCCTCACCTCGTATAACTAATTACTAGACTGCGGATTTCTATGTGAAATAAATATCATCAACCACAATTGCAAGGAAACTAACTAGAGAGTAAGATCTGTCTCTCTTCAATAACTCTAATAGTACAAAAATAATGATTGACATCGTTCAATTCTCCTAATCTGTCTACTACTTTGAATCGCAACTACACAATTCTACCATAAACACATTAAATCCGCGATCTACAAATGACAGGATTTTTGCATTGAACAGACACACAAGTTGTACCAAAAACACTTCGCCTCTTCCAATTATACTTGACCACAGCAACATCTCATTTAAATCTACGAAACTTTCATCCTTCTCCCCACTGGGCAATAAAAACAATGTACGGAATCGACCCAGCGATAATTTCTCCCAAAAGACGATTAACAGCGGAAAGAAGGATACTTTGCGGCGTTATAATTGGCAGTTATCGCAGCTTAGAATCGAAAGCAAAGCCGCGAATACCGTTTCCGTTTCAAATTAGCGGTCGCGTCCGCAGGTTTCTCTCTCGTTGGCGAGGTCTGGAGAGGCCGCGAGGGACAAGGGGCTATTTTGGTCGGGGCTGCAGGTTCATTCAGGACCTCCGTGCACGAGAATCCGATGGCCCTGTCCTCATTAACATACTACTCCGCCACTCGATGTCGAGGGACATCGGAGTGGAGCAGCGCGTCAGAAGCGCGGGGCTCTCTCCACGGTTTCAGGATCGGGTTCAACCTCTCGCGATTCGACCGGCAGATTACGTCGAGATTATCTCGACATCTCAGTCCCGCGGCTTCCCCTCGCCCTACAAATGACTCGAACCCTTTGAGCGTAGACCGACGACCAGGAAACAGGCGACACGCCCCGAGAATTTCTCTCTCTCTCTCTCTCTCTCCCTCTCTCTCTCTTTCTTTCTTTCTTTCTATCTATTCAGCGTCCTCTCTTTCTCTCAGTGCTGTCCGCTCGGAATATATGAGCAACGACTCGCTGCCTAATTAGCGGTAGCGTCATCGGACACCGTCGATTAATGGATTCAGTGAAAAATGGTTCGCGAATGGCCTTGCAGTTGAATCGCAGGAGAGATTCTATCGGTTAGGGATGATTCCGATGATACGATTGCTCAGTTGTGAATGAAGCGATTTTATAGGGGTTGACCGAGCTTCTCTCAGGATGTGGACTGGTTTGGGAAGCGATTGTAAGTTTTTGATATTCGTACGGTTTTGGATAATTTTGTAAATTGAGAATTTTTGGGGGAATTTTTAGGGAGAATGTGATTGAGATATGATGCTGTGTGAGGCGATACTGTGATAATGTTTATTATGTAATAAAGCGCAGATGTTAGTGATCTTAGGTGAAAAGGATTTTATATGTCTTCCCGTATAAATTGGTTGTCGATGAACATTATTTCGATTAATATGTTGAACAAATAGAGAAATCTGCCAAACTCTCTCTCAAACCAGTTCATTAAGAATTTTGACTAAGCAGTTCTTTGAATGTTTTATTGATCTCCTGTTCCTGATTTACAAAAGCTTTGTCATAGAAGGCACTGTATTGCGAGAATTAGCCACTAAAGTTAATTTCGTGCAACCGCAAAAAATTGTGAGAACTTTTAGTATAGAAGAAAATTGTGGGAATAGATTGTCTACCGAAAAGGTACAAATATATAGTACAGTTTCAAATTTCTACGGGTTCTTTAGATGAAAAAGACTTGTTAAAGCAAATTTGTCTTTAGAAAAGTGCCAATACAGTATAGTCTTGAAATTGTAAGAGCCTTTAACTAAAAAATTGTGTAAGACATTAAGATAAAATATATTTTAAAAGGTTTTAGTTAAAAAATTGTAAAAGCCTTTAGTTAAAAAATTGTAAAAGCCTTTAGTTAAAAAATTGNCTCCCCACTGGGCAATAAAAACAATGTACGGAATCGACCCAGCGATAATTTCTCCCAAAAGACGATTAACAGCGGAAAGAAGGATACTTTGCGGCGTTATAATTGGCAGTTATCGCAGCTTAGAATCGAAAGCAAAGCCGCGAATACCGTTTCCGTTTCAAATTAGCGGTCGCGTCCGCAGGTTTCTCTCTCGTTGGCGAGGTCTGGAGAGGCCGCGAGGGACAAGGGGCTATTTTGGTCGGGGCTGCAGGTTCATTCAGGACCTCCGTGCACGAGAATCCGATGGCCCTGTCCTCATTAACATACTACTCCGCCACTCGATGTCGAGGGACATCGGAGTGGAGCAGCGCGTCAGAAGCGCGGGGCTCTCTCCACGGTTTCAGGATCGGGTTCAACCTCTCGCGATTCGACCGGCAGATTACGTCGAGATTATCTCGACATCTCAGTCCCGCGGCTTCCCCTCGCCCTACAAATGACTCGAACCCTTTGAGCGTAGACCGACGACCAGGAAACAGGCGACACGCCCCGAGAATTTCTCTCTCTCTCTCTCTCTCTCCCTCTCTCTCTCTTTCTTTCTTTCTTTCTATCTATTCAGCGTCCTCTCTTTCTCTCAGTGCTGTCCGCTCGGAATATATGAGCAACGACTCGCTGCCTAATTAGCGGTAGCGTCATCGGACACCGTCGATTAATGGATTCAGTGAAAAATGGTTCGCGAATGGCCTTGCAGTTGAATCGCAGGAGAGATTCTATCGGTTAGGGATGATTCCGATGATACGATTGCTCAGTTGTGAATGAAGCGATTTTATAGGGGTTGACCGAGCTTCTCTCAGGATGTGGACTGGTTTGGGAAGCGATTGTAAGTTTTTGATATTCGTACGGTTTTGGATAATTTTGTAAATTGAGAATTTTTGGGGGAATTTTTAGGGAGAATGTGATTGAGATATGATGCTGTGTGAGGCGATACTGTGATAATGTTTATTATGTAATAAAGCGCAGATGTTAGTGATCTTAGGTGAAAAGGATTTTATATGTCTTCCCGTATAAATTGGTTGTCGATGAACATTATTTCGATTAATATGTTGAACAAATAGAGAAATCTGCCAAACTCTCTCTCAAACCAGTTCATTAAGAATTTTGACTAAGCAGTTCTTTGAATGTTTTATTGATCTCCTGTTCCTGATTTACAAAAGCTTTGTCATAGAAGGCACTGTATTGCGAGAATTAGCCACTAAAGTTAATTTCGTGCAACCGCAAAAAATTGTGAGAACTTTTAGTATAGAAGAAAATTGTGGGAATAGATTGTCTACCGAAAAGGTACAAATATATAGTACAGTTTCAAATTTCTACGGGTTCTTTAGATGAAAAAGACTTGTTAAAGCAAATTTGTCTTTAGAAAAGTGCCAATACAGTATAGTCTTGAAATTGTAAGAGCCTTTAACTAAAAAATTGTGTAAGACATTAAGATAAAATATATTTTAAAAGGTTTTAGTTAAAAAATTGTAAAAGCCTTTAGTTAAAAAATTGTAAAAGCCTTTAGTTAAAAAATTGTAAACGCCTTTAGTTAAAAAATTGGTAAAATCAGATGAGTTTGTAAGGCAAAATAAAATTGCAAGTACGGACCAATTGCAAACCACCAAATTGAATAACGAAGAAGTTGTGCAACTCGAAGTCAGGAAACATCGACAAGGGTTTCTTTTTGCTTAGAGAAAGCCTGACAAGGAAAAGAAGAATAAGCCGGGGGTGAACGGGAAGAATGCCCGATCGACTAAAGGTTTATTGTATGGAAAAATATGGTAAGCTACGGAAGGATTAGTCTGACGACGAATCGTATAGTCATCGTCGCATCGAAGATATTTTCGGGCATTATTGGTTATGGTGATCGTGCACGGGGCACGCCTAGAAGCAAAGCACACAGCCCCTCAGACGTGGAGTTGCGCGTTCAAACTTTTTCGTTGCCTTTGGTGCTTTAATCAATAACCATACACGATTATTATAAACTATTCTGCGCCATGAAAAATCGCTATGAAACCGCGGATAATGATAAATAAATACATGACATATTTTCGATATGCTCCTATCATAAATCTCGACAGAATTACATGATAAATTCTTTTCAGAAAATCAAATTATTTATTCAATATAATTGAATGAGAATTAAATATAGTTATCATTTAATTTTAGCAATAGTTTTCTTTCATCACTTTAATAGATTAAAAATAAGACATTACCATTTCTTTTATTCTTTTAATCTTTCCTCTAGTTTAAATTGCTACCAATCAATTTTCTCATAAATGCATGAAATCCGGAGTCTAATTATTAGTTAAATAAAAATAAATTCATACCGTATCAATATTCTCGTCAGTTGTTTAGACAAATTATTATCTACCTGGTTTTCGAGAGTTTCCAATCATAGAAATATCACAAAGTTCTTTAGTAAATAACTCGAGAACGTCTTTCCCAAACCTTAACGCTAAAACTACCGAGTCCTGAACGTGACTAATGTATATTGTTAATTAATGTATATTGTATATTATTTTATTTCAATGACGAGATTGGATTTATTTAAACTTCTTACGATTTTAATTATAATATATGCTTGAATGAAGAAGTTTTTTCGGATAAAAATTTCTGACAAAAACATTTTTATAATATCAGG